TATATATATGTATATATATATATATAACAATAAACTCTCTCGATCAAATAAAAAAATCTTCTAGACACACACACACACACACACACACACACACACACACAATATGTATATATATAGCCACCTGAATAATTTCTGAGTGGTTTGAAATATTGGATTGAAATTTATAAGGTACAATAGCATCATGATTTAACTTGGAAAACACTCATTTCAACTATTCAGGCGAGCCAGGGGAGACGGGGGAGGAGAGGGTTAAAAATGGCACGTGGGGTCGAGTGAGGGCTCATTCGAAAAGGCTTTTTGAGACGAGAAAAACGCAAAGTCGTTGAAGTCTCTACAATTTAATTTTCGCAGAGTTATGCTTACTTGAACATTGGTATTATTTAGCGCTAGCGAGACCCATGACGAGGACGTGAGGAAGATAAGGCTTCGCGCATATTCCTGAGTGGATGGAAGTGAGGAAAAGTGTGTGTAAGGAATATGCGCGAAGCCTTATCTTCCTCACGTCCTCGCCGTAGGCCTTGCTAGCGCTAAATAGCACCAATTATGTTCAAATGAGCATAACTCTGCGAAAAAAAATCATATAAAGACCTGAACGACTTTGCGTTTTTCTTGTCTCGAAAACCTTGTCCTTTCAAACGAGCCCTTACTCTGCACCACATGCCATTCATCAAGATTTTCAACCTTCCTCCCCTCGACCCATCCCACTTGGAAGATTAAAGTTGGTTTTTAAGATTAAACAATAAGTAGATTTTATGATATTATTGTAACCCTATAAATTTCAATCCAATATCTCGAACCATTCAGAAATTATTCAGACCTATTTTAAGCGCCTCACTCTGTATATGTATATATATTATACGTATATGTATGTACATATATGCATATTGTGTGTGTGTACTAGGGTATGACCTTATTTATACTTGGTGAAAAATTTTTTCCGAATTTTTTTCACCACGCCCCCTAAAGTTGTTCCATTTGGTGAAAAAAAAAAAAATTAAAAGTTGAGGTCGATCGGATAACGGAAAGACGTGGCACAATCCTATTAAAGTTGAAACAAATATTTTTTTCACAAAAAATGGGGAAATCCGATGAAAAGAATTCTGAATAAAGATTAAATAATTTTCTTAGTAAATGTTGACCAATGATAGTATGTTTTTTAATAACTATATTAGTATATTTAAATCGTATTTTAACAAAATATATCGTATATATATATTATATATGTGTATACGAAATATATCATATTTTTATATTTATAAGCAAGCAGGAAAATAAAGATATCAATATATTGTTTGCATCTATATATTTTACAAGCTATTGTAATATTTAAATTTATTGTAATTT